ATAAATTGCATTATCTTGCTATACTCATCCATGATCTTATGATGTTCTAAATTGATAAATCATCTTCGAGTTCCAAGGTGGTTTTAACACACCTTGGATGCAAATGCTTATTTTCTGTCCTGTTACTTTGTGGTGTGTCATGCAATAAGTTTTTAACAGAAGCAATCAAAAGTGTCCAAATATTTGTTTCACTAGCAGCCCTTAATTAGATTGGAACATCCCTTGAACTGATGTTTATCTTACATAATCATAACAAGGTTCCGTTACATCTTTACTTGAGAATATATATTGGCATTTTATTTTGTTAATTCAGTAAATGTGGATTCATTTTTGAATTATAAAGGTGAAGTTATAACAACCTTATGAATCAAAATGTTGATAAATGGGAAAATATAAAATGTATAGAAATATTTCTTTAAACATACACATGTATAACAAAAAGTATTATATTTTAAATGTCCATTACTTATGGAAAAACTACAGTTTATGATGTATTACCAAAGTTTTAAATCAAGTATGATTAATAGCATTTTGCATCATTTCAAATAAAATATAATTTTTCAAAAAATCAAAAAGTGTCATTGCCCATTGTTGTGAGATTAGATGTTCCCAGCAATTAGGGAATTGGGAAGTCCTGCTTTGCTTCCCTCTCAATGCACAAAAACAGTTGAAAACAGTCATCTCCTGGTATGATTAACCTCAAACCTGTCAAAAATAAACACCACCACATCAAAAATATGAACTTTAAAACTTAAAGACTTCCTCATTAAATTTCAAGGACATATTTTTGAATTTTTCAAAGTTTATTTATAAAAACATAATCAAGGGAAATCATTATGAGTGCAATGTATTCTGGTACATTTTTTTTACTTTACAATAGCCATAAATAAGAACACGCTCCTTAAAAGTCACTTGAATTAGGAACAGTAGTTAAACCTGAGAGAACCATATTGGGTATAACTGTGAGGAAATGAGTGACAACAACTAAGAAAGGGGTTACAAAATGGCACGCGTGTGCTCCATCAAAAGGTAGAATTCTGGAGGCGGAGCACAACATATGTCTATCAACAGAAAAAATAGTCCCGTAGCTAACTTTCCTGCTGAAAATTTAACAGGTTAGCTTTTCTGCTGAAAACATAACAGGCTAACTTTCCTGCTGAAAATATAACAGGCTAACTTTCCTGCTGATAATATAACAAGTTAACTTTCCTGTCGATAATATAACAGACGAACTTTCCTGCCGATTATATTAAAATATTTGAAGCTATTATATTTGAAAAAGACACAGATTTCGGAAATGCTTTGGCTAGAAACCTGTAAACAAGATTTTTCATAAACCTGCCCGCCCAACCGCCCGCCCATATGACCACTCGGCAAATTGAGCACAATATAGCACCCAAGGGTGCGATAACAAGGGTGTGATAAAAATATTACATGTTAATATTTTTTTCAATATATTTTCTTTACTTTATTGCTATTTTTACTGTCATTAATGAAAATTGTATGTTTGGATGTACGTTTGGCCCTAAAAGGACATCAGTACAAATAAATCCTATTATATATATATACAATTTTCGTAGATGTGCTATATGTAGATCCCAAAGATATCATTTTGATAAAATTTTGAATATTAATCATAAAACTTATTCCTACTATTGGCGTCAAGTTTACACCTCTATGTACCACTTAACAGCCTACTCAAATAACATTTATTGCTATTTGAATAAACTCAGACACACTTGTAATTTTTAAAAAGAACATTTCTAAGAAGTTGCATTTTGCGTGTTTGTACTTAATGCCAATAAGTATAATCGGTGAAAATGCCAAAAAGGCCAGTTTTTGAATAGCAAGCCATTCAGGAATCACAGACGTATTATTAGAGTTAAGTTCATTTGCTTTTTACGAAGTCTTTTGAGCGAAGATAGTTCAGTTTCCTGTGTGGTTTTATGTCCTTATTTGCCGCAAATAAAAATTACACGAAATAAGATATTTATGTCAATACGCCTGTACCATATTTCCTTTAATACCACATATCAACAGTTGAAAGTAAATGCTGAGTATTTTTATATAAATCAAATCTACTAGTTATGGGATAGGTAGGTAGACCACACGCTAAAAATTCACAGGGTAACAAAATATTTCATGTTTGTTCCAGTTTAACCACAAAATAATAAATCGGTTAAGTTTTAAAATTATACTTGATAATAACCCAAAAATTGACACTTGAAGATTAATGTATATGTACTTCTTAATACATGTTTATCAACAAATCTCTAGTTTCCTAAAAAATCATAAATTTTGCAAAAACAATGAATCAAACTCTAAAACTTCCCAAAACTGATATTATATTTAGAAAAAAGGACATTTCTTGAAATCCAGAAGGCATTTTCCTGAGACTGTTTTTGTGTTAAAAGTTACGTGCGCTCTTTGGGTGATGATAGAAAATACAGTATGTTACATCTTTCACCCAATTGTGATACTAATTTGGTTGACTCATATATTTTATAAGTTATTGCCCATTCGGACAGATGGACAGAAAATATGGAAATTAAAAGAATTTCCCTCAGAATTTCAGGGATTCCTACAATGGCCAAGTTTTTCCCTACTTTAAAAACAAAAGTAACGACACCTATCTGTCAACATTAACATTAATACACTCAAATAAAAAAGTCAACAGATCTTTAATAAATAATAAAGTTCAGAAGTCAAAATAATTTTAACGATTTTTGCATCTGCACATTTTGCAAGATCCGGGAGGGTCTGAATGAATCGAAAGAGTTACAACATTTCAAAACAAAGAAATCTAAAGACACGTATTGATCAGAAAGTAGTACCATTGTTTAGTAAATCAATTTTTGTGTTCAAAAATATACACAATAGTCAAGGATATTTACCTGGTATATTTTCCTCTCTAATTGATACAAAACTGTCAACATAACAAACCAAAGAATTTTGTCAAGATAATATCATTTTGCGTTTTATTTGTACTTCGGATAATAGCTGATAAATATTGTGAATCAAAAGATTGTCTAAATAAATAATCAAAAACACAGTTTTATGATACTAAGATAAAATAATTGAGATATTTGTTTAATGAAACCAATATCAAAAGTCAAATATTTGGTATGTTGATTTGGTGTGAAAAATACTTGTTGAGACAGCCTCTTGAACAAGATGCCTCATACGCTGTTGCTACTTTTGAAAAACTGAAAACCAAACAAGAAGCAAGTCTTGCCCTACTATGCCTATACCAAGTGTCAGGCTGAATTTGACCTGAAATTTTGTCAAATATTGATAATATTTTAAATTTTGTTGAAGGAGTTCGGGTACTTGAACCCCTTAACAAACCCATGGTCCATGGAACAATTTACCCATGAATGTACCTTAGTTAATAAGGACAGAGGCCATCCTAATTATAACACTATTTTTGTGCCTGATATAACAATGCATTGTAAACACCAAACAGATCAAAGTGTTGTGGTATACAGAGCTATGTGTTAGTTTTATGAACAAGTTCAAACATTTTTATTTCAAATGCAGTTTTTATGAAGACATGTTTGTATCTACAATGTACCTACGCAAAGGAAGTAACTTTATACCTGATATTTCTCTCGGGGGTCCCTGACAGCTCAACATGACATGCGAAACAGAATTAAAATACATCAACTAACGCAAAGCAGCATCTGTGAGGAGATTTTTCACTAATTGATTTTTCATGAAGTCTCATCCTGATTTCTTAATATAATCACTAGGTCCAAGATTAAGGAATGCATATACAGTTTGTAGAATGCCAATTCCGAAAAAAAAAATTGGACATTATGATTAATCAACATTCAACATCCTCATGAAGGTGTGATATTAATTAGATTGTTATTAATGAGAATGAACAAATGTGTTTGCTAATTTTTTCATCCACCTGGTTAAATCACTTAATGACATAAATTACCTGTCTGGAAGATGCAAGATGAATGTTAATTAGGCTAAAGCCTTGATGCTATATGAGTAGTGAGTGCATCTTACCATATTGACAGCACAAACCCTGTATTTAAAGCTATTCAGCTATGAAATAAAAAATTACTACAAATCTTGATATATTAAAGTCTGTTGGGTTTACATTTTCATTATTCTGTTTTATCATTTACGTTATAGTATTGATGCACTGGAAACCGTATCAATATTTAATGAATAAATATTTCAGCCATTCTATATAAACATGCAGTAAAATGAACAGTGCTTTTTCCCCAATCGGACATCATGACATGAAAGAGATCTTGTTTAAATATTACATGATTAGTTATAAACTCAAGATTATGTTATCTAATTACCTCAAATCAATAACAAAAAGGATTATAAGATAATTGCAGATTTTAAACAATGCATATTCTAAATGTTACAAACAAAATAAAACAAATGTTACAAAAATTGATTTTTACGCAAAAGTACTAATCATCCTTTTTATTTCATTCTGTAAATAATTATTTATCGCTTTCGAGTTGTGATTCATGGGACATGTTTCAGCTTTCCCATAATGTAGTAAGCGTATTGAACTCATTAAATTGACACTTTTATAATTATGGTCTCCTAATGATTTTTACTTCACTTGAACTATACGGGCAATGCCATATGATATTTGTATTGTTTTATTTCCTGATGCGTTAATTGATTTTTCATAATTTATTCCAGTTATATGTGGATAGATGCATGTACTTTGATGTACCCTGGATAGCGCATGTCATGATTTAGTTATTTTAATGCATGACAGGCTGATGGTGAGTATAATACAAGTATAATTATATTAACATGATCATGTATTCCCTACAACTGACAAGCTCATTGGTATTTTAAATTATGAAAAAACTAGTTTAGCTACAGGCCCTTGTGAGCCCTCCCCCCCCACTACACACCCTCGTGTGAGAAGGTGAGTGGTCAAGTAATGGGAGGGGGTAGGGTAATGGGAGGGGGTAGGGTCACAGAGGCTTGTAGCTAGACTAAAAACGTACCTGGTTGTCATCTAAGACAAAGTTCCACAGCAATGACTCTATGTAATAGTTAGTACCTCCAACAATTACTGCTAGCTTCCTCTGCTTCTCAAGATCAGCTATCTAGAACTGCAGTTAAAGAAATATTACCTTTCCAGTACTTTTAGTGATTCATTTGATTTTACTTCCTTAAAGGAAGCTTCGGCTACAAATATTGGGCTCCCGGCCTTAGGGTAGGGGAAAATATTCATGTAAACTAGGGCTAGCACAGAAATGGAATGGATTTGGAACTTGCTTTTGGAATTCAAAACTTCGAACTTTAATATGAATTGTCAGTGATGGTTTATTCAAAAAGGTATGAATTATATAAAATCAATATGAATCATGAATTTAGAATTTTTATCGCATACAATTGAACAATATTTATGTATACACTCATTGATTTCATTCTTGATAGTTTGTTATTGTGAGCATGCAAATGTTCTTCATTGGAAATTATAAATTCTGTCATTTTCTGGAGACGAGGAGGCGCTTGCAGTTTCAAAGGTCTGTTTCTAACACTATGGTAAAATTGGAAAATTCAGACAATAATATTGATTCTATTCTATATTGGTGGTACACGTATTTATGATAATCATTACATATTCAAATCAAAAAGCATTCTGGTAAAAAAATGGTATTATTTTTTTCTTATATGAAATCCCTGACATGTGAATTTCAAAAGTTAACTAAATGTTATTGAAGGATACAATAGGTAAAGCAGCATCCCGGAAATCTGTCACCCTGTATGAGGTGACCAGAGGGTCAACATAATCCAATAAATGGTGCTTGCAATGCACTTGTTCTTCAGGGGTCACTTTATTAGTAATGATATCTAAGCCTTTGTATACCTGAAACATATTGACAACAAAATTTAAATATTTCAAACAATAAAAAAATATACAGAATTGCCTGTCACATCGGTTAATCAGATATTACCAAGATTCATGAGTTGAATCGGTTTTGACGGAAGAAGATGTCACAAAATTAATGAATTGCTAAATCTCCAGTAACCTACATCCAGAGATTTCGAACACTACTTTGTGAATTTCTGTCAAAGCCATCATTTTGCTTTGTCAGTAGAAAATATATCCATTTGAGGATAAAGAAAAGCTGCTGGTAATTTACAGACTTTCGCAAATGGAGAATGGAGATGTCGGGAACATTTGGAGATATACAAGCGCCATGATTCTGAAGTAGGGGGCGTGCAAAGGCTGCTCTATCAGATCAATCACCCTTTGAAAGAGGTAACCTATATGCGATGCATGATGGTGTAATGACCCTCAATAGCAAGTCGCTGCTGGGTCGCTGCTACAGCCTAGCTGTAATGGCTAGCCATAGAGCAGTAGGGCATCAGACTGGAGCGTGAGCGGAAGGTCCTGAGTTTGATTCCCACATGGGGCATTGAATTTAGCACATTCGCTTGACTTTTATGTCTGTATCTGGCTCGTTACACTTCAGCTCCCCTGAGTGCCCATGGGTTATTACAAGCACGGGGATTCAGTCGCTCCCTCTACTGTATGTAATACAGAGGGAGGGGGTGATTTAGACTGTATCCTTCGTCTGAATAAATATCCAGACTGTAAGTCACCTATTGTAAAATGTGGTGTTGTATAAATGTTACAAATAAGTTTGTTTAATGATAAAATGATTACCTTATAAAGAACTCACAATATTATTTTTTCGTATATTGTCCTCTTACTGAAGATATTCATAAAATGTACAGACGCTTCTTGTAGCGAAGCCATTGATTAGGTCAAGCCATTTTGGCAATGCCAATTCTCACGATAAACGAGATTTAGCCAGTGACGTCAGTCTATTTATAAACAAATAACACGTGGAGCGGGAGCAACATTACGGAAGCGTATTGCTAAATTCCATTTGTGCGGGAATTTATTAGATCTAGTCATTTATTATCATTATCCCGATTAATTTTCTTCATTTATAGTAAATAGAGCGGAAATATTCATGAAGAAGGCCGAGGTAATCAAGTGGTCATGTGTTGTCAAAGTTCAAAATTTGCATATCTCGTTTGGATCTCGTGAACTCAAACGTCCTTGACATTGATTTCGCGATCTACTTATGAACACATCCTGAAGTTTCGGTGAGTCTGAACATTTCATTATTTTATATCAACTTGTACCCGCCTTATACAAATATTTTTGCTTATAGTTTAAGATGAACATCTCTTCAACATATTCACCAATTTTCAAGGTGAACATTCTTATAATAAACGAGAAATTAATGTGCAAAAAATATCACCGCGATTTCCACAGGAAATATATCAATCATAACAGACCGAATATTCTGTTGGATACATACTACAGTCTGTTACACTGCTTCAAAGGCAAGCAGTTAAACCTGAAATATAAGAAATCTAAATAATATTGTGCAATAATATATAGAAAAATATATTCATATTGCATACAAATGACATTTGTATATGTTGGATTGCTTGTAAATTGGCTCATAAACTCTGTAACCTCTTATATTTTGATGCTTCTCTACCATGTTAATTCTCAAAAAAATAACATGGCGGACAGACCTCAAATTACAAGAGGGCACAGGCTTATTGCACTAAACACTGAATAATCTGAAATATACAAATGTCATTCGTGTGCAATATGAATATATTTTTCTATATATTATGGCACAATGGTCTATAGATTTCTTAATTTTCAGGTTCAACTGCTTGCCTTTGAAGCAGTGTAACAGACTGTAGGGGGTGATTCCTCGTGATTACAACAGCAAATAAGGATAAAGATAAACCTGTCAACTGTTCAACCTTCTATACCTACTTGGAATCACATATTAGTTATTTACTAATGACTGAAACTTCATAAGACACGAGGTACACGAGTAAATTATCTAAAAATCAAGGAAACATGAAGTCAGAACCTCTATTATCGCCCACAAACATTTTAGCAGATTTTAACATGTAATTTGTGTCGTTATACCTGCATAGAATCTGCACTTATGATTTCCCCATTAAACTTTGTTGCGATCTCCAGAGCTAGTTTGGATTTTCCAGCTCCTGTTGCCCCCAATACGACAACTAGAGGCATTTTTGAGAAAATTTTGTTGAAAAAAATCATGAGAGTACTATCCGTAAAGTGCTGCCACCTATATTACTGAATTGCCGAACTGTGCTAATATGATCTTGACCAACAGTCTATACAGGGTTTGATTCTTTGGAAATGTATTGTGATTTTCAATCAGCCAATGCCAGGAGAAACAATAAAAATGTTTTACATATTATGTCTTTTGTACCATATCTGCATTCTTCATATTTGAAAACCTAAGTGAACATAGTGAAAATATATCACATTATGACAGTTTTCAGAGATAATCATGATAAATTTTTATTTTAATGACACCGAGATTTTCAATATAGGGATTGTGTCAAATTATCAAGATGGAAAAACAATAAAACATAAAAAAACATAATCAACCCCCCCCCCTCCTAGTGGAACTAACTTTGTTATTCCATTACTCTTGATAATTGGACACGATCCCTAGTATTCATCCCACATTTTAGGACAATAAGAACAAACTTGTTCAATGGATAGCTTCTTCACAAGTGATGGAAGATGATTTGGATAAATACTTGGAGTTGTTGCGAGAGGCAGGAATGTTTCCTTCATTGGGACCAGATGCAAACATGGCAAATAGATATGACAAACGAAGCAGAAGTAAAGCTCCATCAAAACCACAGATTGAGTTTTGTCAAAAAACAGCTGATTGCTGGTCTCAAGTCGTTCAACTGAGGATCAGATGTCAGACATTAGGGTTGGTTCCCTGTTCTTGGCTACTTAAGAATGTATTGGGTTAAACAGTCATGTGTGGAGTTTTTATGTCATATGCTATCTTGTATCGTATTCTTTTCCTCAAATGATGAAAAGTAACTGCTGTACTTTTGCTCAGCTGTATTATCTTTATTTCAACGAGACATAAAACATCAGTTTATATTAAAGGGGTTGTCCAGTCAAACTCTTTTCACAATGGAATTCAAATTTCTATAGAGCTCTAAGAATTATGAAATCTGTTGGTATACTGTTGAACAACTTGTCAACTTTGTATACCAAGCAGTCCCTCCCACATTGAATAAGATAGCAATATGTTTGAATGATAGTGTTATTACACATGGATTCCAGTCATTATTTTCATAACCGCTAATATTTGGTGATAAGGAGCTGGAGGGTTACAGACAAAATGTACTGCATCTCCTTGAGGCTTATCATTGATATCATGGGATGGGAGACTATCCATTTGACATTTTATCAGGTTTATGGTCAAAGTGGTTTTGTTTTAATAGTGGAGTACTCTAAATGAATGCGATTGGAACTCTTCAGAAAGTATAAATTGCAATAGTTTAGTTTCTGAGAAGTCCTTAACGCAAAAACAATCTTAAATGAAGTTGTTTGTCAAGGTCACGTCAAAGACTAATACTGTAACCTTTCTAGACTCTCAAACGAGTACTTACTTAGTGTATTATTCGCGATATGCATGTCGTATCTAGATTTCATTCATAAGTATATGATAAATTCAATTGAGATCACTAAGTCAGCAAAGAGATCAACTTCAGTACTTATCAAGTCTATGTGTTAAGTTATATGCTACATTCCTTTGGCTGTATATAAGCTTATTTGCTTTCTATTCAGAATTTCCCGCCAAACACTAGTAAACCTATGCTTTTGGTTAAACATGGGTAGATCAACACAATAGACATTTAAATTCCCATAGCCCTTTAAATTTTAAAGGTCAGTCAAAATAAATACAAACATGAAGATTTCTAGATTTTAAGATGTAGAAATTTCTTTATTTTATTGGCCTTTACTTTCCTCACTTGTACAAGATAGAATTTTATCAAGTTATATAAAAAAGAGTATGCAATAACTGAATATATTGTAATAGAATCCCCAATTCAAGCATACGTTAAGCTATATAATCCTTCCTTGATTAGTGTTGTTACACAGTGATTTACAAACTAAATAATCAGGTCTATGAGATGCAGTGAAATATAACACTTCAACACCTTATGTGACAAAAGAGAATATAATATAAAAGAAAATTGCAAAATGCAAAAATTAATAATAATAAAAAAGATGAAAAGAACTTTGCCTACCTAGGCATGTTTGTCGAGACATTGATTATAGCTACAGTTCTTATTTTACTTATCTAATCTAGGCTACTGTCCTTAATTAATCTTAACTCTCCTTGATTATGTCTGAGTGGTAACTCCACTGGAGTAATCATTACAATATCGTATATAAACTAAATATGACTATCCTTTTACCAGTCTATGGAGGCAAATTAATCTCCTCTTCAAACTATACTGTATATATAGAATATATTTTATATAATTTTACTTTACAAAAGTAATAGCTATGATACATATGTACAAACCTCAAAAAACTTTCAAGTTTTAAGATTTTCAATTTACAATGGTTAGTATGAAAAATAAAATAAATGTATATCTGTAGCTGTATATATTTACAAAGATGTGCTGTACAAAAAATACAAAGTACTAAAAATGTAGTACACAAGGTATGAGAATTGCATCAATACATGACAAATATGTATTTTACTTGAACACAAGAAATAACTGGCTTGCAGTACCATTAGGTTAATATGATTATGAACACATAGTCTTAACTTTTAAAACATCTAATCCATTTAACCAAAGTAACATCTTACTTCAGATCTCCCGGACAAGCTAAATGTGAACACAGTTTCTCTAACCAAGCTCATGGATACCCACAATGCCTAATTTTGGCGCAAAAAAGAACATACTTTTGATGTTAACTTAACTATTACAATGAACACAATTGATGAACATGACTAATTTCAACATCTAGATAATGTACAAAAAATATGTACTAAGCAACCAGGTCTTAAAATGTTTACATATGACTGCCTAGTTCTTATAAACATCAGTGCTGAAACAGTATCTCCCACCACCATCACTAATAATAATAATAAGATAATAGTACTACACGTTATATTTAATAATCCCAAGAGCTATTAGAGTTCCTTTTTAAAAACTGTAACCTTTTCAGTAACTGATCTTTACGTGATTCTTCACTCCTCAGTTCAGCCTTCAATCTAGACTCAGTCCTAGCAAGGCCAGATACATACTCTGCAGCCTTTTTTAATATGATCACTTTTGGTGCACGCTCACTTTGAGTCAGATTAGGAATCATATCACGGAGTCCTAGAAAACTGGATTTTAAATCGTTGCGCCTCTTGCGCTCAAGAACATTATGTTGCGATCTGCGCTCACAGTCCTCACTGTCTGAGCTAGCTCTGCTACTTGATCGACTACTGCTATTGCTGTTGTAGCCACCATGTAATCTTTTCACAGCACTTTTCAAGTCACTGATGTTAATATTGTCTCTCTTCAACTTTTTATTTGATTGAGAGTTCGATACAGAAGAGTAGGGGCGTTTTACTCCATTTATTGTTATCCTTCCTTGGCTGACTTTCATGTGCGACTGAGAGGGGGGACAGGGGCGTGTATAGTTGTGCATCTCTCTATGTTCCGCTAAAGCCTGTTTAATAGCCTCCGGGGATGGGTGTGTGCGTTTCTTTACTGGAGGTAGAATCTTCTTCTCAACTGTCACTACATCTATTTCCTCTTCTGTAAATACAAAAACAAAGACATGAAAATCTAGTTCAGGTGCAAGAAAATCAAAGTCTAAATGCACTATTGTTATAAATGCTTCAACAGTTATAATTTACTGTAGACAGTCCCCGTGTTTTAAATGTCTAACAAGGTAATTAGGTGCAATCTGCCGAGTTTTAACACTGACCGAAAATCAAGAACACTAAAAATGAACACGCTAGTCACTTCCACTAAAAAGGTTACACAACACAAAATAGGCAGTCATGAGTCAAAGTAACATGCCATATGTGAACTGTTTGCTGCCTGAACAATCTGTTGTTTACACAAGACCTGCATATGAATGTTAACACACCCAAAGGGGATTGTCTCTCATCAACTAAATATTCTGGTCTATTTTTAAGCAATTGCGAGATTTCTTGAGATAAAATAATTTGAAAAAATGTTTGAGAATCACATATGAACAGGTCTTTTATCTTTGGCTATCAGCCTGTAAAAGTAGTGATTAGCATAAAAGGAGGTATGTATTACTCATAGTATTACTTTGCCACCACAGGATGTGTCATAGTATTTGAAAACAAAGAGGATTTTTGTTGATGTTAGATCCATTTTTATCAAAACCTAACAAAGAAATATCTGTGGTTACTTTAACCTATTAAGTTTATATTTTCCTCATCCTTGGATATTGAATTTAATAAATGATGTAGCCAAGGGAAGCTTTGATTATCAACTGATAATACCTTAATTCACACTAAAAATGGTACTTCTACAGGATATAATGCTTCATTGTCTAATTATCATTTTAAGTGCTATATACTAATAAGATGTTCACAATGTAAGAAGTGAGAGGAACAGTACAAAGCGAAGCACACTGAATCTACACAATGTTGGCTCGAATCCAGTTCTATGTATAATCAATACATCATTGCCAGCTGCTCTTACACTGCAGTATGTGTAGCTACAAGTACAAGGCTAGCTTATCTGGATTTCGCAATCACCTATTGCACAGTCTAGATGTAATACCAGCCTGGGTATATATTAACCTGATCATTTATATTATGCAACGTATTATCTCTGAACAAGAATTCCTAGGAGCAATAATACAGCCAGTCATCAAAAGGGAACTGTCATAACTGAATCATGAACATAATTATTGAAGTTAGAATATGAACTATGAATTTGATTCATCTAATGTCGTTTGATAATGAATAAAGTGTTACTTTGGTCCAAAGCCTTCTCTATATTCCGGCTTTGAGGAGGAAGATTGAGCTGCCTAGTATTATAAATATTGTAAATCATTGTGTCACACGCACAGTAAATATGGCATAATAATATGAAATATACCTTTATGTATAGATTTGAAGAACATCAGCTCACATCCCCCTCTGAATCTATTGTTATATTTGATTTCTTTAAGCGAGAATAATTTCAAATGTTCGATCACGTCCAGAACCGGAAGCCATTTTTAGCTACAGCGAGAAAATTTCACCATGTGTCAAACTCCGAAATGAAATTTTGAAATATCTAAATCCAGACAAGCAACGCTTCATCCTAAATATGATTAATATTCTTAAAAATATTTATAAAATTTATTAAAAATGAGTTCTAGGTGCGTGTAGGTGCGTGTAGCACAGTACATACGAAATCAATGAAGTTTCGTCTAGCTGTAAGCTAGAGACTCGAGTAAATAAAGTGCATTTCATTTCAAGGTTGACAAAAAAGAAATAAGCCAAAAAACAATTGAATCTTATGAATGGGCAATGATCTCAGTAGGGTTACCTTAGCTAGTCATTATATTAGATAGCAGTGATAATCTTGGAATTTAGAACCCTGCACCCCAAGAAGATAAAACCATGTACTGTATAGACATAGATATTACTAAACATTATTTGCACTTGGTAACTGACCTTGAACAGACTGCAAAGGTTGAAACTGAATGACATCAATATTTTCAGCAGTGAAGTCCATGTGTAATACTAATAAGAATTAAACGAAATCTCTTAATAACCTAATCTTTGCAAAAAGAGATAATGATGACTCTTACCTGAATCAGAAGGTGTTTCTGTTCCCAAACTGTCTCTACTGCTGATATCTCGACTGACAGAGTATGGAAACACGGCCAAAGGATCGACACAGTCTGAATCATCTCGTGTACTTATACTGCTCGACTCTGAATCTCTACGACATGTTCTTATGGTGAACTTTGACGCAAGTTTAGTGTCTTTAGGGTGGCAGGGGGTGTCTTCTTTACATGTCCACATGCAATCCTTAATAACATTTGCCTGGAGGTTCTTAGATAGTCCAGCAAATTCAAAGTCACCTAATACAAGGCTTTGAGACAAGAAGTCATCTTCATTTGATGGGCCATCAACAAGACTTGTAACAAGCTTATGACGTTTTGCTTCAGTGTCATCCCAGTAATCCGAGTCTTCTCTTTGAGGAGAACTTGGTGGAGTTGGGATCAGCTCAAATTTTTTCCAGATATCTTCGCTTGGGTGTGATGCTGAAGATGTGGGGTAAAGTTCCAAATTCTCATCATGGTTGTTTTGAAAGAAATCATATCCAACGTCACGTTGATCTGTCCGAACAGGCATTTTGATTCTGTGTGAACACAAATGGTGGCAAGCTTATCACTGAAATAAAATGGCAAAGTGTTAAGATTTTGAAATAATTTCACATTCTTATTACAATTTGGTAGTGATTTTTCATGAACACACGAGTCAATGTGGGTGGACCTTTAAATTTCTAGGCTATACAAAAACATGAACGTTTACATTTCACACGAACTGATCATCAATACTAAATTAATAAAATGTTATATTGATATAATGTACATGTACTGCCACAGAAGTTGAAGTTCAGTATACCTTGAACTTACCAAGAGATACAAATTCTTGATTGAATGAATGCCAGACATCCACACATTTAAATTTGAGTGAAACATATTGCCTTCTTCATTCTTAAATATTGACGAAAGTACATAACCAAATATGACCAAAATCGCTCATAATAATCTGCAAACACTCACCTTCTTAGTTATGTCGCTGACAATATCCAAACTTAATATTTCATAGGGTATATCCGAGAGCTGAACTGTACGTCTTGACGACAAGTTGAAGAACATGAAAAGCCCGCTGTTCAGAGGCCAATGAATTAATAAAGCAACTGGCCTACTCACACCGGCTCTGCGCATATATCAATGCGCTAATGTTTAGAGGTCAAGTGATTGACTCACATTAGTGGCAATATCTCTGAAAGTATTTTACGCATAAGAAAAACACTTTCTATGCTTCTCAATGACAATAAGATCTTCTCAAATGCGATGTTTATCCTGTTTTACAACGGAAAATCATGAAAATTATGCTAAGGTGGAGGGAATGTGGAATATGAGTCTGGAGGCAGTGAATAGGCCAGACATTGGCGGGAAAAAAGTGGGAGGAGCACAGAAAGGCATGCAACCAATCAGACAACGTGAAATCATCATAGGAGTGTTTCACTCACTCACTCATTCATTCAGTTCTGTTGGAGTAACCAGTCACTAAGTGCTAATAGGAAGGATGTGTATCTAACCTATAACAAAGCAGGAGAACATCCCCGAGTTGAATGAAACTAAAAACTTTTATTTCATAAAAACAAGTCCGTCCAACGGTTGAATCACCTTATATATTGTATCAAGCAACATCAATTTAGACCTGGCCCTAGACATATTTATTAATCTTTTATAAAAGTGTATTTACCCATCTCAGTCTGTCTATGGATATACTGTCATGAACTGTCAAAACTTCAAGAGCAAGAATGAGAAAAAATATTCTTTTTACTTTGGTTGTTAACTTAAAGATGCATTATGCCATAGGTTTCTACCCCAATGATGTCGTATTGTTATTGCTCATATCATATCTCACATACCATGAATATATCTTGAGAATAACTTTTGGGTATATTATTGCCAAAATATCGCAAATAATCAACAGAACAACCAAACTCCGGAATTAAACACAATCGATTCCTCGGCTAGCGACCCCATTGAGTCACACAAGCGCCCACAAGCACCTTGAACCAGGCAGCAAATCAGGTTTACTTTGGAAGGATAAAGACAAAGGCTATCGCGATGTATCTTTTTCAATGCCAATATTTGGATCCAGGAGTAATGCAAACAAATATAAATACTCGCTCACTACTACTTTTCCTTATGCCTATGTAATGACATATGTATCCCATCCTTGTGTAGGAGGTATGAGTCTTATGTGGGGAGGGGGTTGATAACAATAGGACTTGATTAGGTCTTTCAATAAAGGTTTAATCTTTGGTGACCAACATTGTAGTATTGACACTTTAAGGACATCATAAGGCATAAGACTAACAATATGAAAAATATACCCAGTCCCTATTTGCATCAAACATCTATCATTTCATAATAAAAAGTTAACAACAAAGTGGACATATACTAAAGTAAGAACTACTTTCTACCTGTTGCACTTTTGCACGCGTCAACCCTCTCTGAACAACTTAACATCTCTATATTTTGTTGTTTTATTTAGTAAATTATCAAACAGGTGAAAAATACTATCTGGGCTTCAGCAGATGTTTCAATTGGCCTTGACAACAAAACACTTGGATTTCCTCCAAAATAATTCTTCCTTTTTAAGTATTCAAAACAAACTCAAAAAGAAAATTCACCAGCTGGCACGCGAATTTCTTTATATCCGTTTTTTAAGTGTGCCAAAAATCTACATTGATACTCAACATTAATTTAAAAAGACCTTTATGTTTCTTTTGATTAGAATAAAACTCAAGATTTTGGCTCTTGTTTCAATATTGCATGATTTGCAACAATGAAACTCTCAGTTAAATTTATTCATACTTTATTCTGATAAGTTTTGTATTTATACAATAAGGTAAGGTCACACGCGACATTTAAATAAGTATAGCCTCATGCGTCACATTATTTGAATACAGCTGCAAATCGGTTTCAGTGGAAATGACAAAAAGTTAGATCATATACTTGATAAAAATGAACTAACTTATCAATATAATAGCTTGTCCTTCAACAGAGATGATATAAAATAAAATGTGGCTTACTTTCGCCTTGAGGGTTGTTTCAACAGACAATCAAAGCAGGGTAATCAAAATCAATGGGTCTGCCCATAGTAGTCCCATAATCCAGGGTATCTTGACAGAGTCCATAGAGGCAGCTAATTTATTGTGTAACTGACATTCATACCTGATACCCTTCATATGCTATTAATTAGGTGATACCATCATAGGTTTACTGATATTATTGATTGCACTTTTAACTCTATATTAGCTTAAAAATGACACAATGTTAATCAGTAGCAATAACAAACAATTAAATATATTCCTAGATGATTGTGTAAATAAAGTAAGATTGCTTATATGATCTGAAATCAAGGAATATCACTGTGGTATATGAATATTGATCCGCTGTTGTACTAAAAAGCAGCAACTCATTGTGTACTCTGCTTCATATACAAAAAACAACCAAACAAAGAACTTCAAAATTCAGACAGGTGATTCAATATTTTCAAGTTCAACTTTAAGGTGCTGTTTTTGTCCCTTAACAAAAATTCAATACTTTATGTCTCAGCAAAACAGATGTTGGTGTAATAGAAACAGTTCAAAGTGTAAAAAGATGATATAAGTTAAACTGATTAATCTTGCTAATTAAAATTGGCTATTTTATTTGAAATATCAACTCCAAATTTTGTGGATCAAGACATACTTCACCAACAAATAGGTTGAAAAGTAGTCCCTCTCATCCAATAATTATGCCCTAGGCCAGGGTCAAGATGGAGCAAACATGCTTTATCTACTTTTGAAAAGTATCATAAAAAGCATTAGAACATTTTGTGTATTCCAAGAAATAGCTGAAGAACAAGGATGTGGTAGAAGTGCTAATCTCCTGTGTCAAAGATCACATAACAGTTCTTCTTGGTGATTCTTACTCATATATAGGTTAAAAATGAAGTAAGCCACACCTCATGATTTTTCATTCCATACGAAAGGTACAGGCCACTCTAAGAGTCATTTTGACATTAGACATCAAATGAGCTTGTTTAATATATTTTGCTGAGGGGTGGTCTGTATGTTTAATAGTGTATTACATTTGAAGCATTTTTTATACCTTCTCCCCAGTTCTGGATAACCCCCCCCCCCGCCTTCCACCAGCCAAAAGGTTTATACTTCTCTTGATTGAAATGTGTGACCTTTAATAGTTTCTTTTCTGGCAATGAGACCTGAGGAGTTTAGAGTACAGGTTTCATTGAGGTTTGGTTTTTGGTGTTTGTTGATCTCTCCCGATCAAAGTAAAAAAGTCTCTCTGGTCAAAACAAACATCTACTTCAATAGGCCATGGTCATGAACACATTTGTTTTATTTTTCAACATTTTGACATCTCCTTCTTCTTCTTCTTCTTTTAAAGTAGACTCCTCTTGAGGATATTTCTAGATTAATAGCTGACCATTAGTTTGGTACATGTAGTTAGGCTAATAGATGTACATGTATATTGGCTAAATACACTACAGTCAGTATTTAGATAAATTCTAGATCATATAAATTCAAATCACAAATCAGTTAGGAATATCTATAATCTATATGTCATCAGTCAATGAAAATTCCATTCTACACTGACCCTGTTCTGAAAGTATGTAACCCTTCGCCAAAAACTGAAACTTAATCTCTTTTTACTTCTTCATTCTCATGGTACAGCAGAGCCCTTAAAACAAAATATCATCAGGAATATAAAACTCAAAATATCTTTTTCAGAGTAATTTTCACAAAATATTCAGTAGTTATTACATAATTTAATTGGTGGTGATATGTGTATAAATTAACAAAATGATTCATGTAATGCAGAAATGAAAGGGTTAACCTCCTGGAGATTTATGACTGAACTCTTGTAGAACAGACTTTTAACTGGCCCAGCATTTCTTTACATTTCCTGGTTTTAATGGCCATTTAGACAACACAAGATGGTCTCAAATTACACTTTGAAAACACCCCCAAGACTCAGTCGTTACATGTTGTCTAAGAACCATTCCAATTAATCAACAATCAATTTTAAGAGAAAGTGTCAAGAATTATAGGAGGAATTATTCAAATAAGGTACTGGTCTGTCACCTTGTCTGGGATATAAAGCAAACCCATAAACAATCATCATGGTATACCATGGCAATTTCAAACAGAGAATGTTGTCCGTTAAGAATGGAGATGTATAATAACATACTATGCAAAGTTATATTGTAAAATATATTAATCCAAGCATATTTCATTGAATTCATTGTTGAAGTGCAATATGTGTAATTATGGTATACCATAGCACTTTCCAACAGTAATTGTCTGTTAATTGTAGAAAACAGATGCAATAAGTATCAATGTGCATAATGTATTAAAGCACATTTTCGGGATACAAAAAGAAACCAAAAGTATAGTTAAAATTCTGAGAAATTTACAATGACAGGAACTTAAGTCAAAAACACTTTACACTCACAATAAATGTTCACATAAATATTCGAAGAACAATCTTATTTTTGTTGGTGTAGATAAAGCATGTTTGCCCTACCCCTCTCTGTTTTATCTTGGCCAGATATAATAAAACGAAACTAAAGCCAAAATGGCAATGAGTGCTTTGTACCCCCGATGAATCCCCGTTGCCAGGATTTGCTAAGGGGGATTCACTTTTTAAAAAATTCCAGGGGGTTCACTTTTGATAACTTTGGTCCATAAGGCATAAATGGCAAATGTCAGTATCACTTGAAAAGGAACCCCCCCCTCTGGCTACAGGCCTGCATTGTGTGTTTTAAATTAGAATATGGCCATATACCTGTAATAGCAGAGATACTTGTAATCATATGGCTTTACATATTGCCAGAGATGCAATCTTTAATTACCCGAAATATGCATAAAATTAAAGATCTGTATCTTTAGTCTAGCTTGGGTGTCACATGCCACCCATGCTAGTGTCAGTTGAATCTAGATACATGATGTGGACACACTCACAGCTAGATTGATAACACAATATTCTATTTCTTTTGTTTCTGGAAAACTTTTGTTATTTTGTCTAATTATAATCAGATAATCACCCTGCCAAAAAACTGCATCCTCTATAACAAGACCATTAAAATATAAATTGTACTTCATTTTTGATTTGTTTTCAAGCTGGCATTAATTTCTTTTGTAAACATTCCACAGGAATTGAGTCTTTTGTTTTGCATACGCTGGGTCATGACGTCCAAATAGGTTTTTTCATGGTGGCATTCAAATACACAGGTAAATGGTGAAATTAGTAGAGAGCAACCATGCAGGTAGTACCTTACATTGAACTCTTGTACCCTAAATACAAAGTTCAACTTTTGCGTCTATTTCTGATGATCCATAGCTGATGTTTTATTTTTGCACTGACTTGAAGAAATATGTAGGTTAAGTTATGTTGCTTTATTTTCCAAGGCTTGGTATATTTGTAGCTTGAGTTGATTATATAATAATAATCATCTTTTATTAAATGGATGTTTTCTATAATATATACATGTATGTCAAAATTCAATTAAAAATCGATAATGAAAATAAATGCAATAAATAAACATAATATGTCTGAAAATGACTGACATAGTCGTGTTCATATTTAAATATGTTCCCCTCTCACAAACATTTGTTTTAAAACATACATCACCATGGTGATAAAGCAGCTATATATCAAAGAAACACCTCAAAAGATATTTATGAGGCACAATGAGGGTGGTTCATAATTACAAACATTGAAACCAATTTCACAGTTGTCATCATAGTCATATGAGCATGGTTTATATACCTTTCTTCAGTAAATCCAGTGTCATATTTCCCATATTGAATCCTCAAAGCAGAGGCAGAACTAGCAAATCCCTATTATGGCCTTGTCTTGTCTTGGTTGTTTCAGGCCCTCAATGAAACCCCACCCTTCCCCTACACCTCAACTCAATTCCTTCCTTGAAATACTGTAGATATGGGGGAAAGTACAGGCACTTTGTGCAAGAATGGTTAATTTTGAAGAAATGGAGAAATATAATTGTCTAAATAAAATGTCTTTTTATTTTTGCATTTATTTGCTTTGTAGAATCAATGAGGAGGTCAACAGTTGCCAATAAACCAATGTCAATCCCCTATCCATCTGATTCCTTTATATATGTCATAGGGGCCTATTATGCTTCAAGTCGGAAGATCAAGAATGGACATAATCCATTTTTAATTGGCATTTTATTATATACTAAAGATTTCCCCATCTATATGGGCAATCACACTGCCATGTTTTAAGGAGATAATCCATTGTCCAGATTATAAAATAGCTCATCCATTGTTCCTGGAGCCCTGGAGTCAGGCCTGGTCAAGCTATAAACAGCATCTAGGCTATAAATAAGGCATTGATATTTCCTATCAATGAAGGCTTATTGAGCAAACTCTTTTTCATTTGATGAACAAATGCAGCATAAAAAATAAAAGGCAAGGCTTCAAGATGACAACATGTTATATTATCAGTGATAATAAAAAGTTTCAAATTGGCATATCACTTTTTTTGTTTTAGCAAAAAAGAAATTAGACTAAAAGGTTTATGCCCAGGTTTTGTAGTATTGTCACATGGATTTTCTTTACAATTTACAAATGATAAAAGGAGGCGGGTTGCAAGCTCAATTAAAATAATCTAGTCTCAGAACATGCCCAAGGTGACTTGAGGAAAAAACAGACAGATAGTCTTAATGAAGAAAACAAGAATTTTATGTGCTTCTAAATGAGGTAGAAAATAGAAACCCTGTCAGAATACTGTCGGCAATAAATCACATTTTGTGATCATTTTGACTGATTTCAATGATAATACTGCAGTACTGTCATATGCTGAATACCCTAAACTTGTATATTTCACAGGAAATATTACAGCCTGAAATATCAATGTTGTACATTCATCGAAAGAGGGATTGGTAAAGTTTCTTCTTCTTGGGGAAGGGGGATTGGGCCAACTCCTCCCCCTGGCCAAAAAAATCTTTCAAAACCATGTAGTTTTTCACCATTCTAAGCATTTTTCCCGTGATTTGGGCCTTTGTCTCAGTAAACCCCCAGAGAATTTTTTGAAAAGTGAACCCTCTTTGGAACCCTCCTTGGCAAAAGCTGGCTATGGGTCTGGGTGTCATTATTCATTTAATGTACTCCTGAAGTGTCATTCACAAATGTTTGTTAAGTTTAAAGTGTCTTCTTTGCTGGATAACAA